TTCACACACAATATGAAAATCAAACATTAATCTAGTTAATTAACAACTCGAAGCTTATCTTAACAAGAAGAACGTCGCTGGAGATTAACTGAAAACGTCTACAAACTAGAAACCGACCTTAACTTTTCCTTGGTTTTGGCCGACTATAAGCAAATGGGAAAGTGACCGTCTGAGGGTATTTTGGAATTTTGACCTTTAAAATTAAATTTCATTTTTTTTCCTCTAAACACTGGTCAAAAGTTACTTTGGAAATACACATGGGTTATTGGGTCATTTTCAATGATTTCCTCTTTCAAAACGCTATTTCATAGCTAGTTGGGGATGAGATTAAAATATTCTCATTTCTTGTCTCATTTTTCCTATTTTTTAATATTACTCTTTAATATAAGTTAAATTTAAAAAATTTAAAACATAAAAACAAAATAAAGAAAATAAAATTTCCAATTTAGACATTTTATCGTTTCCACTGCTTGTTTGGATGCGGATTCTATAGAATGTGGGAATAATAAGGGGTAAAACATTTTAATTGTTATTGAAATTTAGCAAGTGTTTCTTAAAACGTTTTAATTATCATTGAATTTTAAAAGTTCTTCGATTGCAATTGAAAATTTTCAAGAGTGTTTCAATTGTCATTGAACTTTAAAAGTTGTTTGAGCTGTCGCTAAACTTACTAAAATATTTCTCATTGCCACTCATTATTTTTAAAGTTAACGAACGTAATGAACTTACCAATATGTTATCACATACATCACTCTATCGACTATGTTATCTAGTCTATTAACTTTTCAAATTGAGAGTGACAAAATGGCAATGATAGCATTGTGGTGAGTTCAATGTTTAAATTGCCATAGCAATTGAAAAACATTTGAAAAATTAATGTGGTAACTCGGAGACTTTCTAAAGTTCAATGATAATTGAAAAATATCTGGAAAAAATTAGTGACATTTTAGATATTTAACATGGTCGAAAATCGATCGTAAATCCCGAGTCATGTGAAATGTGTGGATAAAAAATATATTTATCTAGCTAAATTATAATTTAAGCATCTGCCATTCGTGCTCCTAGATTGTGAATACACTAGCATTAACTATTTAGAGTCATTACACAATTGATATCGAACTTCTTATTCTAAGTGTTAAATTAGTCTCCAGTCTTTTAAAAAAGAGAAAGTCGATCATCGGCTTTTTATTACAATTGCAATGTCATTCCTCAATAGAATTTTTGTTAAATCATCAGGTGATGCTCATGCATCCATCTTCGTGAAGCTGGTTTCTGTTTGAACATCAATCCATGATGTCTAGATGTTTAATGTGATGCGTGTTTTTATGATGATTACAAAAATTTAACCCAAATTTGGATGGTTCTGGTTGTTAAAATCTAATTGTGCATCTATAATGATTTATTGAAAACTAATATACTCTTAGAGATGTCAAACGGGTCAAGCAGCTCGTCAAAACACGGCTCGTGCCCAAGTTGAGCTCACGAGCGGCCCATGGGCCGTGCTATTTTGACGAGCCCACGAGCCGGGCTCGTCAAAAAATATTAATTTTTTTTAAAAAAAATATTCAAAATGTGCAAATTTACCAAAAAAAATAAAAAAATTTAAATAATCACGAACTTATGAGTAGTTCATGGGCTCGGCTCGACCCCGCGAGCTTGTGGCTCATGAGCTCGTGGGCCGAGCCGAACTCGCCCCTGAGCAACGAGTCGAGCTCGGCTCGTCTTCCACTCGCCATGAGCCCGAGCCGAGCTCGTAGGTTAAAGGGCTAAGTCGGTTCAGTTCGGTCCATTGCCATCACTACTTACTCTTTTTAAAGTTCAAGAAACAACTTCAGGTTAATTACTTGAATTATCATTGAACATTGAGTAAAGTTTCTCATCGGGTCGTTGAACTTTAAAATATTATCCTGCTAATTGTTGAACTTTGTAATTTGTTATCTCATCCATCACTCACTCAATGGAGTTAAAAAATTGACAATTTTGCTGATATGGCTTATAGAATTGTGTACGTGGCAATCTATTCCAAGTGGTGGATCTCAATTATTAAATTGCTACTGACCTGAACGCCAAGTGAAAAATCATTTATTTATATAAGTTTCATACATGTGAAACAACACCAACATGATGAAAGCTGAAGAAGAAAAGGACTTGAAGAACAAGAAGCATCTCAATCACAGCACAATCTTCAATACGGAAGGGAGGGGGCGGGGCGGGGAGGGGGTCCTGTGTACATGACATATTCGAATTGTGGAGAGAAAGGGATATAACAAACGGTATCATAATGTCAAAAAACCAATAGGAACAAGTACAATCAATACTGCTAGTTTGGAAGCTACCAAGTTGAAAGCAATTAGCACAGTTTTTTAACTGCGAAGTAGGATGAATGTCTACTGTCTTTTTGTATGAACTACAAAATAGGTTTTTTTGTTTTTTGTTTTAATGAAATGCAAAATCATACTGCAAAGTAGGATTGTATGAACTCGAAAGTAGGCCGGCCTCTGTTTTTTTTTTTTTTTTATTGGATTCATGTGTTGAACTATCGGAATACTGTTATCAAATTTTGACTGTAGTTGTCATATGTAATCAAGAGTTGGTTATAGAATCAACGAATTGAAATGCAAATTCATTAGATGTCACATGTAATCAAGAATTGAATTTGTAATTAATCGAATTCGGTTATTTTCAATTTTATGATATGCTTATTGCAGCACAATTTAGTTATTTCAGGTTACAGGTTTGGTTGAATCTTGAATTTGGTATTGTTTCATATATATGAAACTTGTATAAACAGCAATTTAAAATTTGAGGTCCACCACTTAATATAGATTGCTATGTACACAATTTTGTAGCAACTTCAGTAAATCCGACAATTTTTTAACTGTTCGCTTAGTGATTTTTAAATGAGATAACGAATTTACAGATTTCAATGACTAACATGAGCAATTTTTAAAGTCTAGTGAGCCAGTGTAAATTTTATGCAAAGTTTAGTGATGATTCAAGTAATTAACCTGAACAACTTCCTATTTGACCGCTAGATCGAGGACATATGGTGCAAATTTTAAATTAGCAAGGCCACTTGAGCAATAGATTGAGCACCAGAACTGCAATTTATCTTGCAATTGTTAAAGTAAAATAGTAGGCCCCACCAAAACTAGATGCATGTACATTCATACAGTAGTCATGATACTATTTTAATAAAAAATATGTAATTAAAAAGAAGTGATAAAAAAAAATGTATTTTGAAAAAAATAGATATCAAATGGGGCCATAGTAATAACACGTGCGTGCTCAACATCCGCATATGATTCGTGGTCTCCATTAACCATGTCCCGTTAATCCGTCACCAATCAATGCCCCTCTTTCCGCCACGTGGCTCCATGTCACTGATTGAGTAAGTACATCATCATCATATCAGTACTATTTTTCATCGTGTGGCCATCGAGTAGTTTGTGTTGTGCGGTTGTTCATGAAGCAAATCAATGATCGTTCAGCGGTTCTGATTGCGACACGTCATTTTTACAGTGATATTGGTCCAGTTAACTTCGTTTGAAAATTTACAGCACTCGCATCATTATGCCATTTTACTTAAATGGCCTTAACATAACTCGCATCTTTATGCCATTTTACTTAAATGGCCTTAACATAAAAATCGAATGTCCGAGCAGTCAACTGATACATGAGAAGGGTAAAGTTGGAAAGTCAAAGAAGTTGAAAAAGCAGACTCGTATGGTCGGATTCCACTGGGTGTTGGTCGCTGTAGAGAATTATTTGTTGCGTTGTCTATCCAAGATTTTTTTTTGGGGTAAAATTGCATTGAGTTCCCTAAAATTTGGAAAAGTGCAAATGAATCCCAAATCTTTATTTTAATTGATTCATGATTTTCATTGATTTAGTTGCCGCTCTCTTTTACGGGAGAGGAATGTCAAATGAGGTGAAAAGACGAAGGGATTGTGGTGGAGATCACTTTGGATTAGATTGAGTAGTGTGACACGAAAAATGTCATCTTGAGGAGAGAAAGATACGATGGTGAGATATTTACATTTTTTTTCTTTTTATTTTGTAAATTGAGATTACATGACATTTTTTCCTTAGAAAAAGTTGAGCATCTACTCGTCACGTGTGTAATTAACGACCGTTTTGATAAATTTCAGCAAACAACATTGGTCGTGTATATTTATCCAAATTTTGTGGATAGAGATGCAAAAAATAATCTCAACGTTCTCAACTTATATCATTTTATTATTTTTATTTGGTTCATCATATGGTAGAACTTTTTTTCTTTTAACAATGTTATAGGACTCGGACTAATTACTTTGATCGAAATGATCAAATCTTGTTAAAAATTCAGTCTAATTATATATTAAAAACAATAAAATTAGAACCACTTAACATACTTCAAAGGTAGTATCTTCACTTTAAAAAATATATTTTCTCTTTTAACTGATTTTTTTTTTTTTTACTTCCCATGCGACACTAATTCGAATCCAATTTAGCTCTTCAGTTTTCATTATCGTACATTTTTTCTGTTCAATGTTTGGCTTATTCTTAAAATATTATACCTAAAATCAAAGAAAGTGAATAAAAGTCTATAAGAAGGACTAGATCAGACAAATACGAAACAAGAGAAGGACATGAGTGCAAAAGAAAGAAGAAAGGGACCCTGGAGTGTTCGAGGGAAACTAGGTTTTGTGGACAAGGATGGACCTCAAGAATATATGACAAAGAAAGATTGTGTGTACCATAAAGAAATCAAAATTATGGCTGCCAGCCACCCTGCGACTATATGAGCGGTAGTTCTTCCACTTTTCTTTCAAGACCACAAACATAAAATTGAAAATTCTCCACACAGTAAACTCACATTACCTTGATTTTTCCCCTCAGTTTCTCTCTCAGTCCAAGATCTTTCGACTTTTGTTTCGTTTAGCAGATAAACAATAAGTTGGAGTTTTATTTCCTTTACTACTACAAGATACGAAAAAAGATTTATATTTTAATTAACGATGATAATTAGGGGTTGTGAGTTGTGCAGTGCAGAAGCTGCAATTTATTGCGCTTCTGATTCTGCATTTCTTTGCCGGAGCTGCGATTCCAATGTTCATGAGGCCAACTTTCTTGTAGCTCGCCACCTTCGCCAGACCGTTTGCTCCCAATGCAAAGGCTTCACCGGGAATTTCATCTCAGGCGTCGGTTTAAAGACGTTATCGATTATGTGCTCGTCCTGCTGCTCTCCGTCCACCGGAATCGACTTGAATTCCGATTCTCTGTTATCTTCAAGTACTTCGATTTGCGTTTCAAGCACCACGACTCGTAAGGAAGCATATTCCGATCGCAGGGAAACTTACGGGTTTGACTCTACAACGTCGTTCACCGACAATTCATGTGAGTTCATGCCGGGGAAATGTATGAAGAATCAAAGAGAACTGAATTCCATTAGATCAGAATCTCTGTCAAAGGTGGACTGGAAAACGGAGGGCGTTTTAGTAAAGTGGTCTAGAAAACTTGGACTTCGCAGCAACGACGCCGTGCGCATGGCCTGTGATGCATTGAGGGCGTGTTTGGATCAATGGACGACTTTGCCTTTCCGTGTCTGCCTAGCGGCTTCGATGTGGCTCGGCTTGGGGTTATGTGGTGACAGATTGGCGCTGAAGAGGCTTGCAGAGATGTCGGGCGTGCCTGCTAAGCTCATACTGGTCGCCCAGTCGAAGCTCCACCGCTTGCTGAAGGCTAGAAGACAACATCGGCGCGACCATCAGTTGGAGGAAGGCTGGGCTGAGTGTTCGGCTTGACTTCCAACTGATTGGCCAGCCCTTTCGATTCTTAATGCATGTTTGGCTAGTTTCAACTTACTTTAAGAATTATATTTTTGAGAAAAGTAAATTTTGTTAACGGACGAAAGGAATTTACTCAATTTAGTTGCTTTTAAGCTTGACCAAGGCCTTCGATTGGCTTGTTATAGTTTGTTTTTCTTTGTTTGGTTGGCAATTAAACTTTTTTTGTTTGAAATATGATTAGCACTAAATTTAGATGCATTGTTTTATTTCACACTATGGTAGAGTCACATTACATAAATGTTACAAATTTCTGTTTTTGAACACATTAAAAGATGATTACATGTTTTTACTTAAAAGTAAAAATAACTTATTTTGATTGAAGTGTAAGAGTTATTTTCAAAATAAAATAACTTGCATATTTCTAATTTTAACTCAAAAAAAAAATTATTTTAAAAAAAATATTTTCTTATTAAAAAAAGATAGTGGAAAATAAAATTATATATTATTTAGCTCTTCTTGTTTCAATATGGGATCCTACAAGGGAAATCAGACTCTTAACTAACGATTTGTAAGTAGTTTGTAAGTAGAAAATTAGGATGTGTTCTCTTTACCGTTTTCGGGCTGTTTTCGATTTTTCAAAACAGTGAAAACGCGTTCTTTTTTTCGTTTTCGAAAACGAAAAAAAATTGTGAATAAAACACAAAAGTCGTTTTGAACGTTTTCAGTACAAAACTAGAAAAAATTGAAAACACGGGAAATGGTTCCAAAATGGCAAAAAGAACGCATTTTCAGAAATTTCAAAACAGACACTCAAAATACAAAACTCAAAATGAATTCAAAACTCAAAACTACAAAACTGAAACACGAAGAGAATAGCCCCATAACATTTCATTTCATTTTTAGTTCTGTACATAATTTTGGGTTTGTAGCAAGTTGAGATAAAAACTTTCGAAGCTTAATACCTTGAATTCTTTTGCTAATAACATCGATGTCTCCCCAGGTCGGGCACAAAACTCCATAGGCCTTTTGAACTCTTGTGCTATCGTTCATTCTTCTGCGCTTGCACCATTTTCCTGGCACTACTCCTTTTTGAGGACGCTTTAGAACGTAGTTGTCAATTTCTAACATCATTGGATCATTTTCTCTCAATGGCCTAGCAAAAATTGCTTGCCTAGACAACTCATCATAACTTGACATGTTTATTGCACCATGTTCGGCTTCAATAGCAATGTCCTTAATCATGTACCTTAAATCAGTGTTAATAGTTGTGTTTCGAAATTCCGGTGTGTTGCAGAGGATTGTGTGGAAATAAGATTCAAGTGGGTAAAGTGAATTTGTTAAGTACATTAATAGTTTTCTAGGAAGATTGTCCCATCCATTCACACAATGTTCTACCAAGGCCCTGCTTAATATCATCCATGGGGAACCTAATTCAAAACAAAAACCAAAATAAGTAGAAAGTAAGCTTTGTCAATAAAAAAAATCAACTTTAAATATTATGTTCCACATAATAAGTAACTTATAAGTGACCTCCAAATAATTGAAATGCCTCCGGTATTTCTCTAGTCTCTACAGCATAGAGAATGTCACTCTTCTCTTTAAGATAGAGATTGCTGTCTATAACAATCTTGCCAACATTATGTCTTCTGCACAAATACATGCATTTCCCAACATAAAATTATGGTAAACGAAAGAGATTAGAGGAATATTAGATAATTTAAGGTGCCCGTGAAAATGTAAATCCAGCCTACGTGGGAGGGACCGGTTTTGAGGTGGTCAGAGCCGAATGGCCAGCATGCCTAAACCTATCTAGGTCCAGGACAAATTGCGCCTTCGAGCTATACTTTTTTTTCTTTTGCCTAAATTTATGTCAAGGGTAAATCCCATGAACGACAATGAAATAAATGCACATACAAGGTCTAGTGCTACTTTTTAATAAGGTTGATTTATTAAGATGGATCATCAAGTTTTAATATAATATCTAAGTCCATGAGTTCAAACGAGTAATTCGATCCAACTAATACTTGAATGAGTATACAGATTTCAAAATTGGAAAAATTCAAACAAGCCTGCCATCTTGCAGGTTATGTTATGGTACCAAGTATAGATAGTTTAGACGCCCCTATTATGTTGTGGTACCAAATATGGATAGTTTAGACGCCCCTATGTGCCAATATACTGTCTTGATTGATAAGGAAACAATAAAAAAGGCCCACATTAAAAGAATTCTTGGAACCACCTCAGATTTTTAGTCAACCCTGCATGTTGTTGTCCTAAACATATTCTTCCTTAAATTGGCTAATCAGACACCTTAAACTCTCATATGATATAATCAACAGACATCCAACAAGGAAAAGAAAATTGTAATAGAAGTGGCTTTTTTCTTACTTTTTCCAGGCAGTGCTATTTGTGTAATGCACAAAATTGAGATCTCTAGGCAAGAACTTCAAAGCATAGAGGATATTCAAAGCATAGAGGATATCTGCACAGAATAGAGGAGATTTTCGAATGACAACAAATATATCATGTTCGGCTTGTAAGATTGAATAGCATTGGACCTTGCTATGAAAGAAAAATAAGCTAAAAAGTTTAATTATAAGCTGAAAAGGCATAGCATTCACTTTACCATCTTGAGTAAAAAGTGGATAATCTGCAGTGCTTAATGTAATAAACCAGTCCCAAGTTGTGCTAAGTTTAAGAAGCAAAGCACCGGCATGAAGCATCGCAGCAAGGGCCGACGCCCCCATCAGGTCGACCAGGTTACTTTTTCCTACAACATTAACATTCCCAAATGCGCGAAAAACCTATTCCGAGTGCACAGAAAGGGCTAATTCCATAATTTCTTGGTCGGACGAAGAAGCATCAAGGTGCAAAAGGTACTGATTTCTTGGATGATAAACAGCTTTTAATAGCCTCAAGATTCTTTTGCTGTCTCCTTTTAAGCAAAATATCCAATAAGCTAGAATTGGAGGATCATCAGGGCCTTTTCTAGGAATTCTTACAGGCTGTTGAAAACTTGTACTAGGAAATCTATCATCAGTTTCAGACAGTTGTCTCCATATTACTAAAAACATTAGAAATCCCGCGAGGCTTAGAAGCCAAAATCGAATTCCACACTGCGATGAAATCTTTTTCGATATCCTCATCTTTTAGAACTATAATACGACGATATGATACTACACCACGAAATTAGGCTATGAAAGGCTAAACAAACCTGTCAATCAAAACAAACAGGAAACAAAAGGATCGAAAGAGTTTTTTCTCTCTTGAGGGTACTCCCAGGGACACATCCAGTGGAGATGGAGTGGGGGCCGTGGGGCTGGAAGATGAAGTATGCATGATTTTCACCAAATTAACATAGGACAGATGCTATGATCCTTAAAAAACTGATTTTCTTGGATCAAAAAGCAAGAACAAGACTAAACGATTGGTTTGCAGATTCAATACTGATTGTTAACCTGTCGAATGCTTAAGCTGATGATCACAATCTTTACGAAGTGATGATCAGGAATCTTGATCCTTGAGGAAATCTTTTAACTTGCTGAAGAATTTAGAAAGCTTCTGGGCAAATGATTGGAACAAATATGTTAAAGATTGAGGAATAAAAATGAATAAGAAAAAAACAAGAAGAAGGGGTTAAAGAACAAATAAGAAAACGAAGAAAATAAAGAATGGGAGTTGTTAGTTGGTTAACTTCCAAATATCAGACTCAAAATCTTAAGCCGGAAGCAAATGACAACAAAAAAGGATGATTATTCTAAAAAAAGAGAAGAACCCGTCCAAGAATTATGGTAAACGAGAATTTTCAATGTTTGCCACCTATAAACTAGAGACAGGTAGATTCATAATTGGTTTTATTTTGTTGGGGGTGGGGCATTATTCTTGAGATCGCTTAAAATATTTTCATTATAGAGGAAAACAGTTCATATATTGTAAGGTGGATCACATCATAGTATTGGTGCAAGTTGATTGGTCTAGAGAATGTGACTTGGATTGTGCTAGTTATGGAGTAAAATGGACCATAGATTAAATTCAATGGTTGGATTTAATCTTGTAGTCAATTACTTATACTAGATTGTCACTCTCTAGACCATAGTACAATATTTGAATTTTGAATTCAAATGAATTGGTTCTATAATTTCAAGACCTCTTCATTCTCTCTACTTAGACTTGGCATAACATTTGAGAGAGAGCATAGAGAGCTAACCAAGTGGGAGCTTTCCATAACTCCGGCGAAATTCTTGGTGGCTTCCAACGGATCCTTTCTCGATATATCCACTGCCATTCCCGTGAACGACGGTGCATGATCCGGTGTGGTACGAATCTGAGCTCAATATTAAGAACACTTCATTGGTGGTGTTGAAGAAGCTTTGGGTCATTTTTTGGTTCGGTTTTACACTTTGAGAGTTTATTATTCCGCATTGTAGTTGTAATAATCTTTTGTATACTACACTTTAAACTCTACAAATGGTATCAAAGCATAGGCTAGTGGTAAAAAGTGTTAAAACAACCTGAAAATCAGATTGGAAGTCGAAGGGGTTCGATTTTGTTCGAAAACAAGTTGAGCAGAAACTTCGAACCCATTTTCTGGAAAAACTACACATCTGGTGGACAAACGAAGACCACCACCAGAATTCAGACGTCAAGCAGTATATACCGGTGCAGCGCGTGTCGTACACGCGCCGGCGGTGGAGGCGACGAGTGAAGTCACGCAGAAGACACTCTCAGCGCGTGAGGGCGCGTGTGGGAGATTCAGCCGGAGGTCAAAAAATACAGATTGTTCCTTGATGAATCTCTGACCTTCTGGTGGTGTTGGATTTCAGTTTGGTGCACTATGGAAGCAGATACAGTCTCGTGCAGAAAAGTGGAAACGGAGAAACTTTTTCGTTGGCGGTTCGGTGGTGTTTCCTGGTGTTTCAGCAGATGTTGGATGACTTAGATCAGTTAGTGGAGGCTTCAGATCGATAAAGACTCGCATCTCTCCTTAAAATACGAACCAATAGATTGGTTCGCTC